GGCCTTTCCAAAGATCACTGAAGTGTCCAGGCAGGTGCAGAAGGAAGGAGTGTGCTCTTGCAGCCTGCAAGCCCATGCATGTTTAGACGGACAGCCTTCCTACAAGTCCTATCAAGCCCAAGCCAGCTTACTTGGATGGAGACATGCTGAGAACTCTAGGATATCTTTCTGCCTGAGCATGCATAGAAGTGCGCCAATAAATACATTGGTCTCCAAGGAGCAGTTTTGGGATCTAATACACCAAAATCAAAAGCATATTCAGGCAAATCAGACACATAGGGTAAGCAGTAGCAGTTACACTACAAGGGCAATGAGATATCCCAAGTTCAAAAGGGGAGGAGTGAAGTGGACATCAGAGGGAAGGCTCCTATTTAGATCACCACCCATCATGCGTGCAATGGTGGGAGTACGTCAAGCCAAGGAACCTCTGACTCTGAGGAACGTCAATGTTAAAAGGTGTGTTTGCACATCATGTTAATCTGCCAGAAGCCATGGTACATAGGTTGGTTGACATAGAAGCAATGCATAGTGCACCTGACAGATGACTGGGCACCCTGTGAGGAGGTGGCCACCTCTCTTTCCTGCCTGTAGGAGTTTCAGGAATATCAGCAGCACCAGCAGCAGCAGTTATATGCTGCCCCATAGCCCATAGGGCTTTCTGGAAGGCTTACAATAAAACAAGGAAATACATACTGTTAATATATAATATAATACACAATACATAGAAACAGAGCGAGTCAGAAGGGGCCTCCCAGGCCATCTAGTCTGACCTCCGGCACCAGCCGGCTCCGCTCACGACATGCCCACCATGTGCACGTCCAGCCTATCCTTGAACACCCGCACCGATGGGGCCTCAACGACCTCTCGTGGAAGCCCATTCCACACCCTCGGGGTCCTGACTGTCAGGAAGTGCTTCCTGGCATCCAAATGGAACCTTGGCTCCCTGAGCTTTGCTCCGTTGGAGCGCGTTCTGCCTTCCTCTGCAGAGGAGAACAGGTCTCTACCCATCTCCATGTGATACAATACACAATATCCAAAAATAAGATATAGCTATAATCCCCCCACACACAAAGCCCAATAACCCATAAGTACAGTCAAAGAAACACAGCCCGTGTGGCTCATGATCCTGACAAGGGAAGAGGGGAAGTCTGTAGCAGCTCTAAGTGCTGCTTGGGCACTTTTGGAGTGGCTTATACTGATGGTTGCCGAGAAGCTGCTTGGCAAAGAGGGAAAGGTCTTGCCAAGGGACTCAGCAATTAATTCCTCATACCTGCAATGGGGTCACTTGCCCAGCTTTGAACTACATGAAAGTTCAGCATTGGTGAAACAGTCCCTAGCACAGTCCATTAGTTGTTGGAGTGATGTGTTGTCCTTCAACAAGCCACTCAAAATTGCCATAACATATAACATGAGCAATCCTTTGTAAGAAGAACTGAACTATGTAAGTTGCCCAGATAACTTTGTTTTGCCACTTATAAATGCTGCAATAAGTAAAAGTGTGCAAAAGTAAAAGTTGTTTGCAACAATAGGCACCAAGTATATTGGATTTTTCCTGCTTGATTTAACTTAATTTGCTGTTGCTTTTTAAATTAAAAAGCTGTGGTAGGTTGCATTTTTATTGCTTCTGCTTAGTTTTTGTAATTACAGATTGCTTTTTGTTGTTTAATTACTGCTATTGTTTTAAATTATGGTTTTATTCATTAGTTTATTGGGACCTGCACTGTGAAGGCTCACTTTAAAAAGAGAGATATTAAATATATAAATAGGAATAGGACATGTCTATTTCCATAATTTACAGAACAAAAATGCATTTCAAACACCAGCCTTAACTACAATTGTATACACACAGATACCACATTAGTAATCAGTCCAGAACTATATATTAAGTAGCAATTTTATTTTTAATGCATATGCTATATGACACAATTTTCAACCTCCCAAAGGGTAAAATGAACATTAGCTCTTTGTCAGGCAGAAAGGTAGTCCAAATGAGGTGCTTTCTCTCTGAAGTTTAAGCACAGCAACTTAAGCCAAAAGTTGAGCCAAAACTATAAAACTGAAAACATCTGTTTGGCACTGGGAACTCTAACAGAAAAGAATGGTCTGCTTGTACGTACAGGTCCCTTGTGTCCACCTACTTGGCTCTTCTGGATTAACAGCCATGGACTGCTGAGATGTGCTTCACCTTTTGCATATAAATCAGGATTCATTCTACTGAAATATAAACTGAAACGAAGGGCACCCACAAAATTCACCATTTGCCTCGTAATTCACAATCTAGCCTCTTCTGAACTGTGTTCAGACCAAGAAGATGTTCAAAGGTCACATGAGCTCATTAAGAATGCCACAGATATCCCATCATCACTGGCTGATATGCTCCTTCACTTTCTGTGTGGATATTCTTTGGTCGTCTCATGTAGCCTATGTGCCTGGGATAGACAACTCATAGCCTTCCAGATGTTTGGGCCTTCAATGATTTCTCACCATTAGTTACGCTGGCTATGGCTAAGGGGAATCTCAGGGCAAAATATCTGGCAGGGCACAAGCTGCCTGCTGTGCCTGTGGTCTGGTTTCTGTGTAGACAGGTTGTACGAGTTCTGTATTTGGGACTGAGAAATTGGTATCAAGGAAAATGTAGCAGCAGGATTTTACCAGACAATGAAACCAACTACCCAGTGGGGTTGTGGGCTCTCCCACACTAGAGGCATTCAAGATGCAGCTGGAGAGGAATTTGTTAGGAATGGCTTAACATGGAGTCCTGCACTGAGCAGGAGGTTGAACTCAATGGCCTTCTTGGCCCCTTTCAACTATTCTATGACTCTAAGTGTAGAATTCTTACCAGGATGAGACTGGAGGCTCTGGGTGTGTTGTTATTCTCAGTGCTGATGCTTGTGTGTGGGGGGCTCTGGAGTGTGAGATTCTTTTTTGGGGTTGCACTCTGGCTGTGAGATAGCATTTTGACTTAAGATGCATTTTGATGCAATACAGTATTGAACAAAGATAAGGAGAGGTACTGATCCTGGCATGTGGAATAGTGTGCTATATTAACATTCCCTTAAAATAACATGGTGCTCTCCAGCAGATCCAGACTACTACCCCCTAGAAACCCCAGTCAGCTGTAATCTAACACATTAGAGGGCACCAGACTGGGGAACAGTCTTTAAAACTTTGCAGGGCCTCTGTGGATTTCTTTGATGTCTGGTGCAATGAATGAGAACAAGTGACTGTAATGTTGCCCTGAGAAAAACACAATGCACCTGAAGCCTCAGATGTTTCTTCAAGAGTTAGTTTCACTGAGTTATATGGGACTCACTCCTGAAAAAGTGCAAATTGTATTCTTTGGCCATATTTCATGCCTGCATCGCTTGAGAGAAAGGCCCACCGTATTCAAAAGGTCTTACTCCCAAATCAATCCGCATATGACTGCCGTCTTTGACAATCATGAGCTCATAGGTGGATTTGCTTGTGCTGTACTTAATGCAATGTTAAACATTTATTTAAAAAACAAGACAAAGATTTAGATCCATGTTATAAAATGGGGTATAGCAAACATGTATTTAAATTAAATTTAAATTAGTACTAATTTACCAAACTAGGCTATCTACCTGAACACGTTAATCTGGCAAGCAGCCAAGGAGATGGTTACGAGAAGCCCACAAGCAGGACCCAGAAGGATAAGAACACATCTCTCTCGTGGGGTGGGGGGAACACGATGCAAAATCCACCCTTCCCTAACCCTGTGCCTCCCAGATATGTTTGGACTGCAACACCCAGAATTCCCAGTCAAAGGTCCTGCTGGGTGGGAACTCTGGGAGTTGCGGTCCAAATGCCTCCGAAGGCTACCGTGTTGAAGAAAGCTGCAAAACCCCTCAGAATGAGCAGCTGTTCTACTTAATACCACATTTTGTACCTAACTACTGTGCCGCCTTCTTTCCAGCATTGCCTTTCATAATAATACCATTCCTTGTCCTTTGCCAAAGAAGACTGTCACACCGATCCGCAATTCAGAGGCTCGGAAATCAGTTTCTTGTCAGGGCAAATAGGTGTATTTACAATTGAATGCATGAATCCATGGGAGCTTAAGAAGGAACACCTCATGTTAATTTCCTTAGGGTTATATAGAATACACAAAAGGGGAGTGAATACAATACACAGGAAGGTGATTGGATACTTTGATATGGATAGGAAAGTGATTGGATACGTCACAGCACCATAAAGAAAAGTTACATTTCACTCTAATTAGATGCCTTTGACAGGCCTTCTAAACTAGTTACCTTGAACAGGCTGGCCAAGTTAAGTAAACAAAAAGGTTACATGTGTGAACTTACAGGGTTAGGGAGGCACTTTAGCAAGCCTATAAAACAGAGATTACACTTTGACAGTTACCCACTAATGGGGTGGGGTCATCTGGTCTTCACCACCAAACACCGAGGCATCTTTTGCTGTGTTTATGGCAAGGCAGTGAGGTGGGATGGTAAGAATTGCTTTTCTGAGTACAAGGACGTTTAAACTGCCGCCCTGCAATGCTCCGCACAGTGCTCACTTTTGGTTCTCATCTCTCAAGGTTACCATCCACCCTTTGCGTAGAAGAGCAGGTGAAGGATCCAGTATTAACGCTGAACACTCACATAAAATAAACCAGCCTAGGAAAAATCATTTTCCATTTTAGGGGTTGAAAGAAGCATGCCCTCTAGTCTCCGCTTCCAAGTTTGTTCGCTCACTGGATGAGCCGCTTCCGCCCCACGCTTATAACTTTTCCCTCACTCCAGAAGGAGGAAACTTTTTCAGATGAAAAACTTTTTTTACTGAAATGCAACAGTTCTTATCGGGGAGCGAAAAAGACTCGTTCCCACAGATCCTGCCCCGCATATGGCGAAACGTGAGCCGGGATTCCAGCGCGGAAACACGTCGGAAACGGCCTCCGCTCGTCCCCTTCCGCTTTCCCAGAAGGCCCCGCGAATCGCTTCCGCGCTGCGGGCCAAGGCGCCCTTCCGGCCTCGTGGTGGAGGCGCTGCGAGATTGGGTGCAGCGGTGCTTGCCCTTCCCGCGCTCTCCTGCTCGGCCCGCGCCGCCATCGCCATGCTCGTCCTGTTCGAGACCGCGGCGGGGTATGCCATATTCAAGGTGAGCGCGGCACCGCGAGTGGGGCAGCCACGTGCTGCCCCGTCGGGCAGGGCTGCGCTGCGCTGCGCTGCGCTGCGCTGCGAGCGGCGCAAGTGTGATGGGGGGGGGGGCGAGGAGAGAGGCGCGGAAAGGCGGGCGCATGGGGACCAGGGGCGCCCCCCACCTCTGTTGAAGCCCGCGCAAGTGGCAAAGCTCTTCCCCGACTGCATCGCTTCCTGGCGGGGATCTTAGTTTTTTACCGCGAAAATTGAGAAAGAATTAAACTGCCCCCTGCCCGGCATGTTCAAGCTGTGTCCCGCGTCTTGCTAGTAATGTGCGGGGCATCGTGGTGACGATTACCGTATTTCTGTATAGCTTTTCCAAGCGGGCAGCGCATTGCCACGTGTGTTGTCCTTAGCACAGCAGTATGTGGTTGCTATCGACTTGAAAAGTGATGCTTGACGGGTTGGGAAAGGGGTGCTGGTGGCCAGTTTTCTCTTTGCCAGGAAGGCTGGTTAAAAGATCTGGAATATCAGATTAGCTGAATTCTATGGACAAGACCCTATGGATTTTTAGACTTACAACTCTCAGCATTCCTGATTCTGCAGTGTTGCCTGAGGAATGCTGGGAGTTCTATGACTGAACTTTGTCAAAACATTCCTTTCAAATAAACAATTCAGTAGCACATATTCCCAGTTGAAGGCTGAGAAAAAGGTGGTGGGTGTGATGGAGTCTGCATTGGCTCATGTGCTTACCTAGTGAAAACTCAAATCTTTGTTCATTTTTATTTGGCGGGTGGAGGCGGGCTGGATGTTATTTGTGTTTAATTAGCTTTACTGTCTGCCTGCTACAGGTTTTGGATGAGAAGAAGCTCCAAGAAATTGATAGCTTATGGAAAGAATTTGAAACTCCTGAAAAAGCGAATAAAGTGTAAGCAAGTTTTTGTAGAATTAGAAAGTTCTTGTAATAACATAGTTTGCTGACCACTGAAGGGAGGGCCTAGTCTTCTAGCTACAAAAATGCTAGGTTGGATCCTGCCATGCAGCCGTGTCAGAGAGAGCTTGGTTGGAGGGGAAAGGCTTGTTATGTCATTAAGCTTGAAGGACAAGTTACTCCAAAATGGGGTTAGCTGTCAAACCAGAAATGTTATACTCAATTGTGTGAGGCAGGTTAAGTATGCAGAAATGGCATAATAAATAGTCTTAAATAATAAACTAGACCCTGCTGATAACTAATACTTACATAGTATGTTTCCTATATTCCTAGAGTGCTCCATTGTCTTGGTAATTGTTACACATGGTTCTGTAAGATAGGTTGTTGTTATCTCCATTTTACTTATGGGTGGCTAGAGCTGAAAGAAAGAACTTGCCTGAGGCTACCTGGTTGAGTTCATTGCTGAACATGAGCTAAAGAATTCCAGGAACATGTGTGTGTTCCTAGCTACAAAACACACCTGAATATTTGAAACGTGGCTTGGAAGAAGGGGAGCTATTAGTCTTTCAGTCTTAATAGGTATCATTTTTCTGTCCTCCCATAGAAGGGACATTGACCTGGTGGACCATTTTTTTTGGTTAAACAGCTGCAGATTTTGGGAAAACCAAACACTACCAGTGTATCTCACATTATCTAGTGCCTTGCGTTTTTGTAGACAGTAATAGTCACTTAGTTTCTCATGTTCTTACCAGTAGTGTGTGATTTTTTTTCTCTAGCGTGAAACTGAAACACTTTGAGAAGTTTCAAGATACAACAGAAGCTCTTGCAGGTAACTTGAGAGTTAAAATGTACTGTTATTACTTTTTTAAATCTTTTAGGCTGCCGTTGAGACACACTCTTTCTGCTCAGGGGCTGAATTCTTTTCAGATAAATTCTCAGAGACTACATTCTTGTAGATAGGGCTGAGCATATAAAAGGCCCAACATATTTTAGCTTAAATGTGATTGGCAAAAAGGGTAGTGCTAGGGAAAGGAAGGTAGCTATCTGGGGAACTAAAGCCAAGGGTCTGCATTGAGACCACAAGAAATTGGGATTTGGCCTCCCAGGCTGAGGCTCCCACCCTGCTTTAAGGGAAAAACCCTATTTGCTGACTTCTAGTAGTCTGTAAACTATCAAACACAACGTTTTGAAATACACATAGGAAATAAGAACCAACGGGTTAAACTGAAATGCAAGTGTTCACATTTCTTAGGGGTAACATCTAAAAGTAGTTTCACTCAATGCTGAGGAAAGCAATGTAAAAGTAATCCATTGAGGAAGGATATATTTGTGTGGCTTTCCTACAGGGTGGTGGTGAAGGGGCCTGCAGCACTGCAGGAGGCAGTGGGCAGGCAGCATTGCTAAAAAAAATCCCCTGCCCTTGTCCTTGCCAGCCTTATTGCTTTTGGGGGGGCAGGTATGCAAGGAGGGCTTCAGAAGAGGACCTCCCAGTGTAGGTGTGGTGAGGGGTTGAGAGCAGTAACTTGGCCACAGACTGTTTCAGGCTTTAAGTGTTAAAAAGTTTTCCTGTGAAATGGGGCTCAGGAATACACGGGCAAGGAATGTAGCTGGCTCGGTTTTGGGGTTGCATCCAGTGGCAGCGTCCTGCCAGCAGGAGGGACTCACTTGCAGAACAGATTTGGGATATGTGGGGAGAGGGCCTGTGGGAGATAAGAAGGGATGAGATCCAGGGGGATTTTCCCACTCTCTTCTGGACAGCCATCTGAGTGGGATGGTGCAACATGGTGTCCTGCAACCCAGTGTTGCTGGCTAAGGGTGATGAGAGTTGTTATTGAATCTGGCTAGGGGAGGCTGAAAGAGAGTAAAATATTCATGGCCCAACTGTTGTCAATGATGCATTCTTCATGAAACTGAATCTCTGTGATTGCATGTTAAGTTTTCGTCACTACCACTGAGACAACAGATGGAAATAAATGTCCAGCAACGGCCGCGCAGTACCTTATTTTGTTCCACATTATGTTTTCCTTAACAAGGAATGTGAAAAGAATGTAAAGACTTTTTGCAATATTCTTTTCTCTCCTCAAAGCATCCACAGCCCTGGTGGAAGGCAAGATTAGCAAAAACTTGAAGAAAATCTTAAAGAAGATAGTAGCCAAAGATGCCCATGAACAGTTGGCTGTAGCAGATGCCAAACTCGGAGGTGTGATCAAGGTAAGCCCTGATATTTTATGTGCCCTAGGTGGGAGGGCTTACTCTGAGATTATGTGCTTGGAGACCTTTGGCAATGGTTACAGCTCAATAGGTGGGAGTGGGGTTGCAAAAATTATTAGTATTGATCTCATCATCATCCAGAAGTGAACTTTTCCCTGCATCTTGAACTGAGTGGTGCATAAAGCCTTAGCCTGTGGTGGATTTTAGGCTCTTCTGTACAACTGCTGGTGTGCTGGGACTCATCTACCTCATCATCATCATTGGGTAGAATCCAGATTTAGTCATTTGTAAGAATAGAGCAGTTCTAGATGCTGCACAAGGCTAAAAAGCAGGATGATCTTTGCTCATAATCTTCTGGATGTTGTATCAAAGGAAAATGAATAGGGAGGGAAGAGGAAAACAAGCACATTCAGATATAGGATCTTGATGTTTTAATAAGCACCTATGATAATGTTTATAAGTATAGATTACTGGTAGCACATTTTTCAGGATTGTCTTTTGGATTTCTTGTTTCTTGTGGAATTTTAGTTCAGAAGCATGGGAATATATAAAAACATTGCCAGGGAAAGCTTTGTATTTATTGTCAATATGAGATGCAAGAAACACTAAACTTAGTTCTTTTGGATCTAATTCTGTGGCATATCTGAGATGGTCTGCTGACTTAATGAAATTGCCAGAATACTTAGATAAGCTAGGTAATCCTAGCTGGGACTTGCTAGATCTGCTTGTTGGTTTTGCCACCCTTGGAAAACCTTAAATTTGTTTCACGTGGGACTCTGAACACAGATATCTTTGCTGCTGCAGTAACATTGTCCACCCTTTTCATCAGGATGCGTATCTCCAATTCTCTGCAGGATAAGCTGAACTTAAGTTGTATCCACAGTCCAATGGTCACGGAACTGATGAGAGGCATTCGCTCCCAGATGGAAGGGCTTATCACCGGTCTTCCATCACGGGAGATGGCAGCTATGTGTTTAGGACTGGCACACAGGTAATATGTCACTTTTTCCAGCTCCAGTCCATTCATTTCTTTGCTGTATGTCATCCACTCACCAAACTGGTCGACTGCCACTTCAGTAATTTCAGCCAGCATGGCTTGTGTACAAGTGGAGTGTCCCTGCCTAGAGATACTGTTATGCTTGGGATGGGGATGGGAAATTTGACATTGTAATCCAACACGTATTGAGGGAGGCACCCTGGTTGAGGGAGGCAAGGCAAGACAGTTGTATGTCTGTGTTCTTCAGGGTGCTGCGTAAGTGAAGTGGGTTGTAAGCTTAGGCACGAGGGCCTAATCACAGCACCTAGTGGTGACCTTTGGGATTCTGTGGGATTGCTTCACAGGGGGATGCATGGCTAAGTTTCAAACACTTGTGCTTCCAGGGAGAATTACACAGCAAACACAATGGAGGCCCAAACTTTGCTGCACCTTCAACCAGTAGCTTTCTGTGCTGGTGCAAGACTTAACATTGTAAAAGTGCTTCTAAAATAAGTGTGCTCTTATACTTATCCAAAAAGCTTTTAAACATGCCATCAAGATTTGTCTGAAAAATAGTGTGTATAGAATGAAGACTGCACCAATCCAGTGGACAGTCATTAACAGTTAGATCTCAGGGGCTGGCATTCAGGTCATTTCTTGTCCATGTTCCAGTCTGATGCTCTGCCTGCTCGTTAGCCTTGGATTTCCATTCATAGTAATCCATGTTACAAGGTTATGTTGCCTGTTTGTAAATTCCATTGTACACTGCACATGCAGCTGAGAACATGGTCAGTTACTGGCCAGAAGAGGTCCTGTCTTTTGGTTGCATTTTGCAGGGGCCTGCCTGTATTTTCCTAAATAAAGTGATCTGCATCTATTTTGGAATGCCCCATTTCAGCTGCTTTTGTGACAAATAATTACACAGTTCTACCCCTTTGTAATTGGATCTAGAATTTTGCAATTTAAGTGTATAGACCTGGTTGAAGTGATCACAGCACCATGTGTGCTGGGCAGCTTTTGAATGTTCAAGTAGCTGCTGCGTCATGTCGCCTGGATCCAGCAGTACTTGAGTTTTTTGAGGGTTAAACCATTTTTTGCTTAAACCATGAATTAACCCTAAAGGGGGCCATGGATTACATAAACCACAGTGGGAGGCTTGATTCTGCAAACCAGCCTACACAGATGTTCAGCTGGACCCACTGATGTACAAAACACAATGGGAAAAGACATCCTTCCCCTGCAGTAAATAGTGCCTCTCTTGGTTGGAGGGAAGAGAAGCAAGTGTGTTACCAGACTGGGTATCATATTGCTTACTTCTGTATGTCTGTTTTCAGCCTTTCTCGATACAAGCTGAAGTTCAGCCCAGACAAAGTGGATACCATGATCGTCCAAGCAATCTGTGAGTATGATCCAAAGTTAACTACCTCAGTGACAATGCAAATGCTTGTTCACTTTTTTAAATTCTTCGTATTGGGATTCATAGATGTGCACTGCAGCCTGCCAGTAGGGAAAGCTTTTTTAGTTTTGTTAACTCTTGTAAAGGTTCAGAACCCTACATAAGAAAAGCCATGCTAAACCAGACCAAAAGTCCATTCAGTCCAGCACACCATACACACACTGGCAATCCCTACAGGACCGCTCAAGCAGGGTGGGTGCAAGAGCTCCTCCTGCCCGAGCTCCTCAGCAACTCATGCACACAGGCAGGCTGCTTCTGGTGAGGGAGGCAGCACATGGCCAGCAAGGGGAGTAGCCACTAACAGCCTTCCCCCTCGTGAATGTGTCTCATCCCTTTTTAAAGCCCTCCAGATTGGCAGTTTCCACTTCCTGTGGCAGTAGATCCCATAGTTTAACTACATACTGGGTGAAGAAGTTCTTTTTTCTGTGCTAAACCTCCCACTGCTGAGCTTCATGGAATGACCCTCAGTTTGAGTGTTATATAGAAGCGAGAAAAAATCCACATTGGAGGTGGGGAGACAAGGGCCCAACCCTATAACCATTATAGGACCCAGATTTTTTTTTTTTTTTAAAGGAGAGAAACCATTGTATTAAAAATAGGGCAAGCATTAAGTAAAGCTGCACCTGAATATGCAGGCCAGAATCTTGGCAGCCCGTCTGTGAGAACCAGCCATTTGGATGAGAGGACACATGCAGAGGGGTTGCTGCCCATTCAGGGAGTGGCTGCCATGATGTGCACAGCTGGTGCCGAACACTCATTTCCAGAAAAAACAAAGCAGTAAACCTTTCAGAAGAGGCTACTTGGCCAAGAACCTGAGGGCAAGGCAGAAACGTGGTCTGAGATCCAAAACATAAAAGCATTTTTTACAAACCCAAGTAAAAAGATGGTGCAGGAAACCAGTGCTTCAATGTGTAGTGTGCCAGTTTCCCATTTAAAACATTCTTAATAGTCCTGCTGGCAGGCAGTGCTTGTTGCCAGCAGCTGGGTTCTCTGGAGTTTAAAAGTGTCCTAGGACACGGGCACTTCATGTACCTTCATCTCTTGGGGTGAGATCTCAGGCAAGATGCAGGGCTGTGGCTGGCTGGCCACCTGCCTCTGTTGATAGGGACACTGACTGTGTGAGCGGCATGCGGGGCACGTCTGCTTGGGCATGTGACCACAGCTTTGCTAACGCATGCAGGAGGGGGGGGATGGATGGGAGTAACACTCGGGCACTATGGCGAGGGCCATGCCTGTCCTCTGGTCAGAAAATGAAATTGATAGTGGTTGTAGTTCGTTGGACATCGCTAGAAAAAATTTAAATAAATAAAATACGTTCTGGAGAATGAAGAATGCAGTGTTTGCCTGCCTTCTTCAGGCAGTGTGGTATGCAAGCTTCAGTGCTGGATGGGGCTTGGGAGACACAGGTTCCAGTCCCCAGGCAGCCGTGGAGCTGGACTTTGGCCCAGTCAGCTTACTGGCCTAACCCAACAGGGTTGTTGTGAGGATAAGACAGCTATGTAAGCCACCTTGGATTCCTCACAAGAGGAGGAAAAGTGGGGTATAAATGTACTAATAATCCTAATACCTGTAGTAAAGGCTGCTACTTCATTGTGCCTACTAGATATAATTAAGCAAAAGTATTCTGACATAGCTAGAGCTCCTTCTGTAAGGTCTGTTGCTTCTTTGAAATCCTCTGACACCTTTAATTGCCTAGTCTATTGGCATAGTGGTTCAAATTACATGACATATATTGGCCACAGCTCTAAGATTCCTCTTTCTGGGGATATTCTCAAGGGGGGGCATATCTAAAGGGGGCCCCAACTAACACTTTATTATTTTTGTTCCCACCAGCCCTTCTTGATGACTTGGACAAAGAACTGAATAATTATATCATGCGCTGTAGAGAATGGTACGGCTGGCATTTTCCTGAACTGGGCAAAATTATCACAGACAATCTAACATACTGTAAATGTGTACGGAAAATTGGTGAGTCACGCTAAGCCCTGTAGCTCAATTAGGAAGTACATGGAGGCTTTGCTGCCATGGGTTTTATTGAGGTGCACTTGTGGGCAGATCATAAACACACAAAGTACAAGGCATAAAATGAGCTGTGCCGGTGGACAGACGTGGTTTCAGCTAAAGGTGCCTGGCTGCATTGTAGCCTGTTTATAAAACTGTGTCCTATTTCCATGAAATTACCCATTTTCTGTTTGCCTCGTGTAGCCATCAACTATTTGGGTAGTTTGTCTGCCAATGTAATGCTTTTCAATTAATTAATTATATTTAGACCTTTGTATACCATCCATCAACAAAAACAAAGGCTCCTTGGATGGTTTACAGCATTAAACAACAATAACATACACATTCACAAAAATAGCAAATCAGAGAAAAATATCACACCCACAGTATGCCCACCGCAAACTCACAGCAACCGCACCCAGATCATTCCGGAGGCATAGCAGCAATATCCCTACCCTAAAAACCCATTCTGAGATAAAATACAGTATAAAAATGTGGATAAAAATTTTACTTGTTAAAATATTGGGTAAATGAAAGGTTTTTGGTGCCACCAAAAGGAATACAGAGCAGGCACCAGGCACACCACTTTATGGAGCTGGTTCCATATCCAGGTGTCACAACCAAAAAGACCCTTCCCCTAGTACCCACCCTCTTTACTTCCTTTAGAGGGGGCTCCCTGAGAAGCACCTCGAATGATGACCTCCAGCTCTGGGTGAGTACATACGGGAAGATGGCAGTAAACCTGGCCCCAAAGCATTTAGGGCTTTAAATATTAGTGTTGTTAGGGCCTGGTCTTCAACTGGTAACCACTGCAGTTTAAGAGGACTGGTGAGATGTGTTCATGTACCGTAGGCCATGGGTCCTCAAACTATGGCCCGGTGCTGAATCCTGCCTGCCATGGGCATTTATCTGGCCCACCTCGGAGGTTTTCAACATGCCGCACGTGCATGCCGCTGCCCGCCTCATCCCCCTCCGTGGGGAGGTGGCGGCGGCTTGCTCACGAGGAGATTGGTTTGGACTCGCTTGGAGAAACCGATTTGCAAGCGAGCAAGCCGCTGCATCACATGCCCACCGTGCCCACCCCTGCCTTGCCTCGCCTGCGCTCCCTGCTCCCCCACTTCAGCACCTGCACACCCCACTCGCACCGCCTTTCTGGCCCATGCCCAGCACCGGCACCTTTCAGCTGGCCCCCTGGTGAAAAGGTTTGAGGACCCCTGATGTAGGCCAATCCAGAAGTCTCCAGACTGTTTTCAAAGGCAGCCCCATGATGGGTGTATTTCAGCAGTCCAAATGAGAGGTTACCAAATTCTCGATCACTGTTGCTAGGCTTTGCTTGTAGGTGGTAAATCAGCCTGTGCTGATAGAAGGTGCTCTTACTCAACGAGTCCACCTGTGACTCCAGTGATAATTCAGGAACACTCCCAAACTACGAACTCTGCCCTTTCGCGAGAGTGCAGTCCCATCCAGGACAGTTCGAAAATTTCCCAACAAGCCTCCTACCAGCAGTGCCTGTGTCTTATCTGGATTCAGTCTGTTTATTGGCCCTCATCCAGTTCATTACCAGCCCCAGACACTGATTCAGAGAGGCCACTGCCTCACCTGGGTTTGATGAAAAAGAGAGGTATTGCTGAGTGTCATCTGCATATTGATGACACATCAGTCCCCACCTCCTGATTACCTCCCCCAGAAGTTTCATGTAGAAGTTGAAGAGCATGGGGGATAAGACAGAGCCCTGTGGTACTCCATGGCATAATTGCCATGGCACAGAGCGATAATCCCCCAGCACCACCTTCTGGAATCGGCTGGTCAGCTAGGAGCAGAACCACTGCAAAGCAGTACCTCCTACTCCCAACTCAACCAGCCTATCCAGAAGGATACCATGGCCAATGCTATCGAAAGTCGCAGTATCAATTCTGCCTGCATTTTCCCATGTTGTGCAGTGGCTTGTTTTATGGCAATGAAAGTGTAGCATTTTCTCATGTAATTAAGAGAAAAAGCAGTCTGTGCCAGAAGCATTCAAACAAGTCTTTAAAGCAGTGAAAAATCTGCCTGTTCTCTGTGTGTCCCTTTCACGCCTGACCTCATGCAGGATGTGCATGGGGTCACAAAGGGAAGCTTCTGGCTTGTTTAAAACTTCATTTTTGTTGCTGTTTGGCCTTATTCCTGTTTTGTATTTGTCACCCCAGGAGACAGAAAAAACTTTTCCTGTTCTGATCTGTCTGAAGTCCTTCCTGAGGAAGTTGAAGAGGAGGTGAAAGCAGCTGCTGAGATCTCCATGGGGACTGAAGTGTCGGAAGAAGACATCAGCAACATACAGCACCTCTGTGACCAGGTGACGGTGTAGGAAAGGGGAAAATGCCAATCTGGCAATCCATAGCTGGTTTTTTTAAAGGATTGCATGAGAAAGGTCATGTCCTGTGTCATTTATAACCCTTTCACAATCCCTTTAAAACACCCTAAAGGCCACTCGTGAAGTTGGATGCGTTTTAAATCTGAAGCACTCCAGTCTGACTGGATGGAGCCTGTTTGAGCCTTCGTACCCCAGCTAAATGAGCCTTTCCTATGTATATAACGCCCTCCCATTTCTCATTACTTTACAGGAGCTGTGATTGCACCTCTTAAGTAACCACAGTTGCCTGGTCCATCTCAACAGGGTGACTGTGTTTACTGACTTTGCAACAAGCCAGGATTGTGGGGTGTTTCTAGATAGAATGGTCCGGGGGCATTGTGCAGCTCTTCTGGCCTTGTTTCCTTCATGTATTCTTCACTGTAAGAGAAAAGATGGCCAAACTGTTGCGAAACGTGGGGGAGGGTTGCAAGTGGAAGACGGCGACATCTGGGCACTGCAGCTAATTCCAGGGAGAGGGACTGCATGATGGGGGAAAATCCTGATCTAGAAGCAGCTGATTGGCTTTGTTTGAATATTCCAGCACTTCCTGAAGCTACGCACCTTGCTGCAGACCAAATGATGCAAGAAGCTGCAGCGAGCAGTTTTGTGGCTTGATTGCTTGTGCTGTGGGCAGAGAGGTGCTGGGCAGCATGCATGGGCAGAAAAATTAGTTCATATTGTGCATTACTGAGCTAGGATTTAATTAGACAATCCAGTGCTGGGCTGGTGGTCAAACATTTGTGGAGCTGACCATTCCGGGATCAGTTTGAAGGAAGCTGTTTTTAGGAGGGGCTTTCAGGGGGACGATCTTGATGGCAGTGATGATTCCTGTGAAGATGCTTTCCTGATGTCTGAAGCATGAGGGCTGCACAGTCACTACCTCTTCTGATGCCATCTCAAACAGCTAACATAGGGGAACCGGGAGAGTCCTCAGCATGAGAACTTGACCATACAGGATGGTTCTCCTCTGCTGAGATCTATGGAAGCAGGGCCGGAACATAGCTTAAGAAATTGGAATGGTATCTTCATGGTTAGACTGCTGCATTGCCAGGAGAACAGGCGCTCAACGTGGACTTCCTGCAGAACTTGCACTTAAGTTCCTTACATCCACGTTGAAAGACTAGTGCAGTGAAACCTTGGCTCATGAACTCAATCCGTTCCAGGACTTTGGTCGTGACCCAAATTGGTCATGAGCCAAGTCAAATTTCCCCATAAGGTTCAATGTAAATAAGGTTAATCTGTTCTGTAACTATTTTTTTAAATAGTTTTACCTTTAAAAGGTAAAGCAAAGTGACAAAGAGCAACAAAGATCGCGGCCATCTTTCCACCCTCCCCCGAACATGAGCACGGTCATCTCCCCGCCCCTCCCGCATGAACGTGATCATGCCCGTCATCCCTGCACGCACCTGTCATCCTGGCGCGCTGGGGAGAGAGACGGGTGTGAACATGGGTGTGCTCAGGGAGGAGACGGGTGCAATCATGCGGGGGGTGGGAGAGATGGCCAAGATCGTGGTTGCGCTCCTGCAGGAAAGGCGGGTGCAATATCGGCCATCTCCCCCCCGACCCCAGCACTATCGTGACCATCTCCCCATTGGGGAGGGAGAGATGGCCGCGATCGTGGCTGCCACTCAATGCGGAGTTCACAACCGAAGTCAAAATTTTCATGAAATTTTTGTTCACGAACGCCTTGGTTCACGACCAAATTGGGTCGTGAACAAAAATTTCATGAAAATTTTGACTTCGGTTGTGAACTCCGCATTGGGTAGCGGCCGCGATCGCCGCCATCTCCCCCCCTCCCCTCATGGGGAGATGGCCACAGTCCCAGTCGCGTTCGTGCAGGAAAGGCTGTGCTGTGCTGCGTCCGTCTTTCCTGCAGGAGTGCGCCCGTGATCACGCATGTCCCTGCACGAACACAACTGTGATAGTGGTCATCATGGGGGGGGGGGGGAGATGACCACGTTTGTGCTGGTTGTGGGGAGGGGGGGAGATGGCCGAGATTGCGCCCGTCTTTCCTGCAGGAGTGCACCCGTGCCAGGATTTTTTGAGAAGCACCACCCCAACATAACTGTAACAAACAGAGTGTTAAATCTGATGAACGATAACATTTCCCATTTCTGGAGGGTTATGCAGCGCAATGAAAAACAAGTGACTTATGGACAGATTTTTCACCAAAATTGACCCTGCAGCTAAGAGACAAAGAAGAGAGGAAACCCCTGGAGGGGGACTCTCCCACAAAACAATAATCTCCCCCCCCCCACCTAGGTTAGTGTTCTCCACAAAATACAATACTTTGCTGTTCTTTGTCACTTTGTTTCACATTTTTCTGATTAAAAAATAGCTACAGAACAGATTAACCTTATTTACATAGAACCTTATGGGGAAATTTGACTTGGCTCGCGACCAAAAATTGGCTCACAACCACATTTGGAGGGGCCAGAATGGATTAACCTTATGTACATTGAATCTTATGGGGAAATTTGACTTGGGTCACAACCAGAGTCGTGGAACGGATTAAGTTTGTGAGCCAAGGTACCACCGTATAAGGTCTGTGGGAAGTAGAGACCTGGAGTGAGGCTCTTGAGTTGAGACCCAGTGCTTCAGCTGTGGCCAAATGAGTCACTTAAGAACTAAACTGAAGGAAGGAAGTTGTCTGGATGGGGCCCTCACCCAACAATATTTATGCTGTGGAAGGAGGCCCTGCCCCAGTGGGGCTCAGTGGGATGTGGCAAGGATCACAGGACCACCCCGGACGAGTTCAGTGGGCTTTTCATGTGGGATTCCAAAATTCTCCTTTGAGACACGAGCAGATTTTTACCCTTGCATTTCTGGGCTGCTGTGTTGTGACTTGTTCGTTTGTGCCTCTACTGTGGCAGGATTTCTGTCAGAAAAGCAATTTACAAATAATAGAAATAATAAGATTAGCTAAACAAGCACAAGTGCCTGCCTCATTTGTAACTGCTTGGCTTGCGGCAACTTTCCTGAGCAGGGCTTGACCAGCCTCGCTCTTTCCTTCTTCTAGGTGATTGAGATCTCAGACTATCGTGCCCAGCTGTATGATTATCTGAAGAACAGAATGATGGCCATTGCACCGAACCTCACGGTCATGGTGGGAGAGCTGGTTGGAGCCAGGCTTATCGCTCACGCAGGTAGGCTCAGCTGCCAGGCTGAGTGTGCTCTGGGTTGGCTGGGGGAACATAAACAGGCTCCGTCCTCCACCTTATATCGTTGACAGGGTGTTGGTGAAGGGACTGGTCCTGCTTGGCAAACCTGGTGTCCTCCAGGCATGTTGGGCAGCAGAGTGTCCCCAGCTCGCGTGACAAAGGATGGGATTGGCAGCCCAGCTCACCTTGAGGTTCAGGAAGGCTGGGGTAGGACCTGCTCCACTGAGGGTGACCCTCTTGGTATTGCTGTAGTTCAGGATTGTGTCAACACCGGCAGGTGCCTAGAAGTAGTCTGTGATGATTGCACTCTGAAGTTTGCCTGATTTCCGCTTGGAATGTGAAGGCAACTGTAGTCACTACCTCTTCTGAGACACTTCCTAAGCCCTGCGCTCTCCTCCATCATCCTGACCATTGATCACGCTGGCTGGGGTGATGGGTGTTGGAGTCTGAAACATCAATAGGGTGCCAGATTGGGGAAGGATGGTTTGAGGGGTTACCTTGGGTACTTGTCTGGGACGTTCACTTTGGGAGCTCTTGCCTTAGAGCATTTCGTGTGACCCTACTGTCTGTTGAGAACATGTTGCCAGCTGCCTTTGGACGGACCTGCGCAGTTCTCATGTGCAGGTTGCTCTTCAAGACCCACCTCTCCCCAAAACTGGCCAGCCAATCCACAATAGCGTGTCCAGTTTGATGGGCTTCCCACGGTGCTATCTAGTGTGCTGTCTATTTTGGTTTGGGTGGCATCACACTTTCTGTCAGCTGCTTCACACTGCTGTAGCAAGTGGTATGTCAAAATAGTAAATAAGTTGCTTATGTCTTGTGATGAGGTGTAAAGGAAGCTGGGCTTGTTTGGTTGCTCCCCATTCCCAGAAGTTGCATCTGCTACTTGGGATGCAATTCTACATGTGCTTAGTCAGAAAAAAGTCCCACAATTACTAGTGATCACCAGCCAGCGTGGACTTTTCGGGGGACGTTTTCTCTGTCTCAACATGCACAGGATTGTATCCTTACAGTATTACCTTCTGATTGGTTCACTTGCTAGAGCTCTGCAGTCCATCCTGGGCATTGTTTTGCTATATTAAGTTATATGCAACCACAGAGCTCAGTTCCTTGTCAGGGCCTATTTCTCAGAGGCTCTTTGTTCTTATCTACTCCTGCTGCAACTCTTCTACTCAGGCTCCCTGCTGAATCTGGCCAAGCACCCTGCATCAACAGTTCAGATTCTTGGCGCAGAAAAAGCCCTCTTTAGAGCACTGAAGACAAAACGTGATACGCCCAAGTTTGGTCTGATTTATCACGCTTCTCTCGTGGGGCAGACAACAGCGAAAAACAAAGGGAAGGTGAGCTGTCCTAAAATGTTTTCCAGTATGCCTGTTCCGAAGCAGCCATGATGTGGGAGCTCTTGTGAGAAAGCCTGTGAGGTGTCTCTTTGCTGTGAGGAAGAATGGACAGCGATGGAAACGAGGCTTTTAGAGGAGAGCGAGCCTCTTCAGGATGTTAAGATTAGGCTATGCCTCCCCACTGCCACACCATGTCAAATTTTTAAAAAGACACTTGGAGTGGCTGTGGGACATCAGCAGGGTCAGAAATTGGCTTGTCACAGTGGAGCACGAAAAGGGATAAAATGGCCACCCTGGATCCCTTCTGTTTCTTTATGTGAAGAACCTTTGCAAACAATTCTCGGAAGTAGCATTGCCCACCCTGGCTTGAAGGCTCCACTCAGTTTTCAGTGACACTTGTTCAGTTTGTCTATTGTTTCTCAAGCCTCTTGAGCACCATCCTGTCGCAAATGTATTCTGCCTCAGGGAGCTCCACCTTCTTCATCTGAACATTCCCACATGCAGCCAGCTGGTGCAATCCAGGATTTCTGTGCTGCTGTATAAACCCAGAGCTAGTGCTAGAAATGGAACAGGCCACGGCCTCTAATCCTGAAGCCTGAAGTAGGCCATACATGGGGAATGATCACCTGAACCAGGCAGCAGCACTGCCTGAGCGCCTCCCTCCCTCCCTCCCGGATCTGGCTGGGTTGATGAGAGCAGTGGGCGTGTAGTCAGCTGCAGAAGTTCCACCTGGATGACTGAAGGCTTGTTGCTTGGAGGTATAGCTGGCTGGGGAACTTGGCATGTGCAGCCAGTTCAGGTCTCTTGTGCCCCAGTGGCTCTGCTACACTTTGAGATAGCTTATCAACAGATGGCTTCACCTTTTATAAAGGCAGCCAGTGGTGATGCATAACAAAATCTGGGTTTTTGTGGCATCAGAGCTACAAAAATAGTGCAGGCCATTCCCAAGGTACAAACGACCTGCCATAAAGCCTATTAATTTTAGAAAATTATTGTGGAAAATCGTCATCACCATAGAGTGGAAGTGGGAAGGGAGAGGGAGACATCCAAAGCAGGCCTTCCTGCCCCGCCCATCCATAAGGGGAAAATGTTCTGACATTTCCTTGCTGCAAAAAGGAAGTGCTGGTGAGTTTGGGAGGGCTAGAGGTATTTCCACTCGCATGGGGGTCCTCCACCCCTAACCCTGGCGAGTGGAGAGCTGACTATACATGACCCAACTCACTTGCAAATTTGACGGAAAGATTAATGGTGGTTTTCTCAGGAGCGGAACTCATTCTTAACCCAGGGACTGCTTGTATGAGGAAATGCAAGTAGTAGACCTACTGCAAGGACAAGTGGGAATCTTATTATGCACATTTCTTATTTTTTTAAAGAACTTGATGTAAAAATGGTTAAATATGCTACGTCTGTGTACTTTTCAGTCTGTAATTATTTTTTCTTGTTGAGGCCAATGGGTGAAGCACTCCATATTTGAACAAATAGAGAACTTATTCTGTAATACTAGTTGAAAACATATTTGCCTCGAAATCCTAGAGACTGTTTGATGAAGCTTTAAGAGGAATACTGCTGTTTTTGCCTAAATTACTGTCTGAGCTTCTCTGGCTCTTCCTTGCACTAGCATGACATGATCAGCCTGTACTGAGTTTCACTGAGGCATATTAACTTGGATTCCTGCCAGATTTCGCGGATGCTGGCCGCAAAGACAGCCTTGACAATTCGCTACGATGCACTTGGGGAGAGCACCAGCGCAGAGATGGGGGCTGAGAACAGACTGAAAGTGGAAACAAGGCTGCGGCACTTGGAGGAAAAAGGGGTAAGTCAGTCACCAGGCTATTTCCCAGTCTGGTGACTGATTACTTATTGGGATACTTGTGGGCTGCCTTTTATTGAAAATGCAAACCAGAAAGTGGGGAGGGATTTGCTTGCATTCCCACGCTAGGCACCCCTGACTTACTTATTTACTTATTTATTTGTATTTATTTTTCAATTTATAGCCTGCCTTTTTCCTATAAAGGGCTCAAGGCAGCTTACATCATTCTCCTCCTCCATCTTATCCCCACAACAACAACCCTGTGAGGGAGGTTGGGCTGAGAGTCTGTGGCTGGCCCAAAGTCACCCAGTTGGCTCCATGGCTGAGCGGGGACTAGAACCAGATCGTCTGAGTCCCAGTCCCATGCCCTTCACCACTACACCACACTGGCTCTGACTTCCTTCCTTCCTTCCTTGGATACCTGTGGGTGTGTTTGGAGATGATGGTGGTACAGTCCATCACACCTCTGTAAGGCAGCTGCCTCTCATCGGCCACTAGCTGGTGGAGCGAGTCACTGAAGCCGTTGCTTCTCAGTTGCCTTCCAGTAGGTCTGATTTTGCAGCTGGTAGCAAGATGCAGCATGCTTTACTTCCTGTATTGTACAGAAGCAAGGGGAGGTATGCCAGGAAAAGCTCTCTGGCATGAGAAGAAATGCCTTTTCTATATGAGTGGATCAGCAGGGGATTGGCCATGGTGCAAGCTGGGCCACTGAGAGTTCGTGGTTAATTGTAGGTGGGAAGGTTATGGAGCTGGGATGTGGCCTTATGCCAGAATCCTGGAATTAGACCCAGTGTAGAGGTTTACTGAATGACTGGCACCCTAAGCAGAATTTGGGAGGGGATGGTATGGAGGGACTACTTGCCACATCGAGTTCCAAAATGGCTTCCACTTGGGTGTGGCATGAGGGGGACCGCCAGACACTGGGCTACTGCAGGTAGGTGGAAAAGATTGTGGTGCAGAGAACTGAGGGAGAGGGACTGAATGCGCTGCAGCTGGGCCAGCAGAGTTCTTCAGCATGGTGTATGACTGTGGCTTTACATCTGATGGTTGGGTGGCAAACCTTTCAAGTTTCACGTAGGAAGCTGGTGGGCTTTTCTCTCTTGTATAGCATGGACATCTTCATTTACTCAATAACTACAGCTGCCTGACCAAGCCGCTTGGTCTTCAGCTGTGCAGACTCAAGATCAAGCAGTTTTCTTCAGGGATTCAGAACTGGCCTCCTGTAGAAATTGACACAAAAGGCTGATCAGTCTGAAACAAGTTGCCAGTACTGCAAAACTTTGCTTAACCTGACCTTCCTCAACTTGCCCTCCAGATGTTTTGAACTCTTAACTTCCATCAGCCCCAGCCACCAAGGTCTAGTCCAAACACCTGGAGGGTGCCATGTTGGGGAAGGCTGATTTAACCCAATGTTTATTTCTTCACCCCTGTGGGTGGGAAGCATTTTGTTACCCAGACATTAGGAAATTGCTCTCATTTCTTTCTGTTTTTCCCATGTGCACTCCCATACTCAATTTTAATCTTTTTCAAGGGCTGTGCTGGTTGTGACAGTTTTTGATAATAATTACTGTGAGTTGTTTGTTTTTCATAGCTGTGACTTTTCTTCCCTTAGATAAGACGGATAAGTGGCACAGGAAAAGCCTTGGCCAGAGCAGACAAATATCAGCACAAGAGGTGGGTAACTGTGTGTTCACTTGACCCACTTGTAGGTTTTGTTTGTTTTCTGCTCAAGTACTCAAGTTTTAAGTTTGCTGGGCTAAGGCAAATGCTCGTTTGGGCCAGTGCAAGTATCCCGAGTGCTACCTACCGTGCTTGCTTTTGGTGTATGTAGAGCTGGGTGGATAAATATCTCTCCAACAGTGTCTGAGTCAAGAGTTGCTGATATTCTGCTAGAACGGATAATGCCTGCTGTTCTGTTTTATGCAACAGGCCGAGGGCAGAGGGGAGAAAGAGCTTAAGGCCTGGGGTCTTTGGTATGATAGTTCTGAACACTGGTGTGCTCGCAGATGCCATTTCTGGTGTGTGCCAGCTTCCTCTGCCTCCTGCCTTTTGCTTTATTTCTTAAGGGCTTTTTAAGGATGCCCTTTTCCACTGGGAGCTTGCTGTCAAGCAAATGACTGCCCTCCAGCACCATCTGTATTTGGGGCCAGAAGAGGGGCTTGGTGATTTGGAGCTCGGATTCCACCTCTGTGGGGTGGTGGTTGTTATGTACTTTTCTATACCACCAGGAGCTGAAGCTTTCTGGGCAGTTTGCAATAATAATGATAGAATCATACACTCAAGTCTCCCATCCAGATTTAACCAGGTCTAACCCTGCTTAGCTTCCAAGATGAGGCAGGATCAGGCACTTCCAGCTATACAGAAGTTATATGTTTACTTCAGGCTATACAGAAGTTGTGTGTATGTGTGTATTGCTTTTAGTCCCACATTTTGGAAAATGGATGTGAGTGGTCATGTCATGGAGTTCATTTTGTGATGTGGTCATGACTTGCTTCCCATGGCAGCCATTTTGGGAGTGCTGACAACACCCCTCAGAATTCCAGATGTGCCCAATTCTTGATCTGGGTGTTTTCCTTGTTGCCTGTTGGATTTGGTAACCAACACACCGTCCAGGAACTACGCTTGTTTCCTAATAAGAATCAGGCAATTCACCCAGGACAGTTTCCTTTATGTGTGAGCTGCCACTGGATTCTGATCTGTGAGGAAATGCTGGTATGAAACTGACCATTTGTGGGTACAGCCAGCGACCCGTTTGGACAGTTGCAGCAGCATGTTTTCTAGCCATGGAGAGCCCTGGAATCCCAGAGGGCTTTGGCTATTGGGTGGCATAGAAATGACACAAATAAACAATACAGTCCCTTATATCCCAATTCATGCCAATCTTTCTCCAGACAGGAGATCCATTTTCAGAGGTGGCAGCTCTTCCACATGCCAGGTGCTGAGGACAAAAGAGGGTGGTTAGGACTGGCTGTGCCATTACACTGAGTGAGGTGGTCTCCCCTGGCGGTAGATGCTGGGAGGCAACAGCACAGTGCTGGAGGAGAGAGCTGGGTTTGCCAGGAGGCCTACCCTGTGCCCCCTGAGCTGGCCTGCTGCCTTCAGGGGTGGCAGAGGAGGCTTCCCCATCATCAGTATTGCCGAGAGAGATCATTTGCAGCCCTTTGTGGGGAAGCAGGAGCTCTGTTTTCTCAGGCAGTGGGCCTGTGGGTGCTCCGACTGACTTCCTGTCCAGGTTATGGGCTGGCGACTGTCCCAAATGGAACACTAGACTAGGGTGAATGCCTGGCCCAGTGCAGCTGTGGATTGCTCATATATTGCTCATCTGTTTTTAAGGTCAAGCAGTCAGGCTTGGGAAAGTCAGTTTTTAAAAAATGAGCTTGGAGCGCCTCCCTCCCCCTGGCTTTGGTGACCTGAAACCATGATTGCAAGCACACTCATTTTAAATGGAAAAAAGCCCTCCGTGCTTCCAAGACAGACATTGCTCCTGAATTGGTGTATTGGTCCTTGGCCACCCCATCCTTCTACCCAACCTTCCCCATCCTGGGGCCTTTCCAATGGTTGAAACATAACTCCCAGGACTCCTACCTGTCTTCTGTGACATAAGGACACCCTTGGGAAAAACAGTGCTGCTTCTGTGCCAAGCTGGTAGTGCTACAGAAATATTGAAAGAGACATGATGTGAAATCAGTGGGATCTTCAGATCCTCAGCCCCTCCACTGCATTTTAGACTGTGGGCCAAATTGAGTTTCCAGGACTCCCCAGATGACCATGCCCCATTCCCTTGCTTCTCCCAAGCATCCGTCATTTAGCAGCTTCAGTATGACGGTTCTGAACACTGGTGCGCTCGGCAGGAAAGAGTGTTGGGCTCCTACATGTTGGTATCTGATGTATTTCTTGGTTCTGCCCTCGCTGGGCTGCAGCCCACAGGAACTTCTCTGAAGGGGAATTCAACCCTTGCGCTGGAAGAGGTTGGCCACCCGCTTTGGAAATGCCGGGGCACTTGCCAGACAAGTTTGTGACAAATTTTTTCATTCCAGTGAAGTGAAGACATACGACCCTTCTGGAGAGTCCACACTCCCTCTGGTCCCAAAAAAGAGAAAAGAGGTGGAAGAAGATGAGACAGTGGTGCCAAAAGCAAAGAAGGCTAAAGTAGTAGAAATCAAAGGTTAGTTACTGGGGCCTCTCACCTCCGGGAGCCATAAGGGGTAGGCTCAACTTCCAGGGCCTTTGTGGCCCATTTGAATTGCTCTCTTCTGTTGGACAAGCTCAAGTGCTTGCCGCTGCCCTACCCAGCAACCAATTAAATCTCCCCGGAGCTTTCAATGGGTATGTTGGTTCCCCAGTCCTTTTAAAAGCCTCAATACTAGAACTTTTTACCTTATCTTTCCACTAACTGCCCAGTACCAGTACTTAAAAAGAGTTCCCTCTCCTGGGTTGTATCAGAAGGCATCCCCGTGCTGATGGAAGGCTCTTTGACTTGCCAGGGGCCTCTGTCAATGAAATGCAGAGGGAATTTACTTCTGTCAGTCCCTGCTTTGCCCTCCCATGCCCCCCCAGCCTAAATCTGTAGTGGATCAGATAATTGAAGAACCCCTTCAAATAGTGTGGGATACTTCAGGGACCGGAGGAGAAACTTCCACCTCCGTTCCATCAAAGAGGCTTCCATTAGCTACGCAGCCCCACCTCTGGGTGCTACTCTTCCCCACTCCCTTATATCAGTCAAGATAAAATTTGCAGCGGTTGATCTTTTGTATGTTTCTTCGGAAGCAGGCTGTGCCAGACAGGATTTGCATTGCACTCCAGCAACTGTGCCCATATTGTGGTTTTACATCGCTGCTTCTTTTTAAAATCCAGGTTGTGCACAGCGTAAGAACCAGTGAGAAAGTGTGGTCTGTTAAGAGGACCATGAAGTGGTTTGTGTGGCAGCCTGCTGCTTTCCTGTAGAATGATTTTACCATCTCCGTCTAAGGAGAAGGCTTTCTCAATGCCTCCCTTTGCTGCTTTTTGAAAGCTAAGCAGAGACGAACGTGGCATTGAGGCCTGAACGTTTTTGTTTTGTTAATCTCCTTTGTATTGGTACACGTTTGCCTGATCAAGGTAACAGCAGCACAAGAAACTTTTAAGTGAAAACATTTTGAAAATACTCCGTGTGGCCTTGAGCGTGAGACTAGGCTGTTAGCAGCTTCTGCCTTTAAAACAAAACATCCAACACAAAAGCTTGACTTTCTTTTGCCAGTACAAGCTTTAAGAAAAGAATGCACTTTAATATCTAGTTCACTAGGATATGTTGCACACTTATACATGCTTTATGCTTTTAAAGAAAGCAAGCCCAGGCTATCCACATCTGCACTAGTGGAAGCTGGTTTTTGCTGCCTGTTCAAATGTGCACCTTGTGGTCAATATGCACAGTTTTCTTATTTCACAGAACATACTGGTAGTCTTGAGGAGGCAAGTCAAAGAGCTCCACAGCACACTTAACCCCCCTTCCCCCAGATCTTGCAACTAGAGCCATCCATTGACCTCTGAGCCCCCCCCCCCACGGCGGCTGCATGGAAGCTTCCAAGTCTGTTTGCACAGCCAGGAGGGTTGAGATTTTATTAAAAGCTAAGATCCCATATCCTGCACTGTGCATGCAACCCCAGCGGTGAAGAAATACGCGTGGCTGGCTTCAATTGAAACGTTGTGGTTTTCTTATTAGTACTTCTTGCACTGTGTACAATCACAGTGTTCTCGGTTTCATTTGCAAGCAGCAGTGAGTTGGAAAGAAGGCCCTCCAGGCTGCCATGCTTGCTTTCTTCCAAGACAGGAAAAAGCCCTGGCTTCCCGTGTGCCTCAGTCCTCATTCTGTTTGGACATGAACATGTTGCGACCAGCACAAGCCCTTTCGGGACTTCTCAAAGGGCCTCCCCCCACCAACTCAGAAGCATTGGGAGCTGCAAAGTACAGCTGAAATGGTTGCCCATCATAGCACAGGGCACAGCTGGCACCTCAGCACCTGCAACAACAGGAGGAGTTCCCCACCTGCCTACTGAAAATTGGGGCCTCTTTCAGTCCCAGGGTGGAATTCAGTGCTGGAGAAGCTGGGGGAAGAGACATGTTCACATAATGGTGGGGCTAAAGGAAACAGAACAGCCAAAATACAGGAACTGGATGGGCCAAAGCTGACAAAGAGGCTTATAGGATTGGTGGTTGAAGGAGGTGGTGGGAATCCTGCAAGGCCGGGTTAGGGTCCCAGGAGGGCTGATGGCATCCATGCCTGAGATTCCCCACCCTGGTTCTATTAGAGGCTGGTGTGACTACTGCAGGTGTGCATGTCAAGGCAGCAGGTGCATTTGTCATGGCGGACATGGAGCCTGGGGACACTGGCTCATTGCTGGCTTCTCAGCACAGCATGTATGCCAGTTTTAACCTTTAAAAGCCCAGAAGGGGGGCTGCATCAAAGAGTCTCTCCTCCCACATTTCCCTACCGAGATAATAAGATCATCGCCTGATTGCTTGGCGTGCCCCTGTCAAAGGAAGCAAAGCGGGTGCTGAGGGGGTGGCACCTATGTTAGAGTTTTTGGCACCTGCTAAGGCCTCTTGATTGGCTCACTCATAATACGAGCTGTTTCCAGTGATATAACATCACTGCACTTTGATTGCTGCTACTTTTCCAATGCTTTTATGTGCTGGAAATGTTTCTGTTCTTTGCTGCTGACTTTATCGTGGTTGGATTATGTGCTGCTCTTACTCCTTATCTCCTTGTTATGTCTTCAGCATCTTGTGCGTTGCTCAGAGAACCTGGGCTCTTGGCCAGCTGAAAAAGCTAAACCAGAGGGCTGAATGACATGTATAGCTCAGCACTTGAATATGGCATGAGGGGCAGTGGAAATCAATGCCCTGGCATAGAGGAAAAAACTACCAGCAATTTCCCACACATTTGATGGAGTTGCCATATTCCCTCTTTTAAAGGATTCTTAAAGCATATGACCCTTTCTTCAGATGGAGTCACTGGATAGTCACATATCTACCATGTGCCACCCTGAGTTCCTGTACCTTAAAAACTCCTGGATGTCTGATGAGCAGTGAGACCCAGGTCACTCTGCTCTTCATCTCCCCAGCAACCATCTGTACAATAAGCACAGAAGTCTCCACAATTTTCTCTTCCTTGGGGAGCTGCCAGTGTCCAAACCTTGGCCAAAAGTGCTGTAAGACTTCTTCAGGTGGAGTTTTGGATGCCGTTTTTCATAATATCTTTTTTAGCACGGTTTTGTAATTTGTTTTTCTTGGTTTTGGAAGTGCTGTTCTTTGCCCAGAGTTCTGGGTGCGGGGAGTGTGAAAGAGCTGAAGTTGTGCCTTTCTCAGCAAAAGCACAAGAGTGTCATCAAAACTAAAAGGTGGATGAATGCATGCCCAGGACAGTGCAATATAGCCCAAAAGGTTGCATGTGAGCTCTCAGTTATACTTGAAAGGCTCCTGATAGGTTTCCTCAGTTTTGCTGAACTGATAGGTACATTTTTCTTGCTTTTATTAGCCTATACGCCCCTGTGGTTTAAAAATGTTTCCTGGGTGCTTTTGTTGAATGACAACCCCAGTCTTCATATTTCTTTTCCATAGAAGAAGAGGCGGAAGAGGAGGTGGATCAGGAGCAAGATGACAGAGAACATGTCAAGAAGAAGAAGAAGAAAAAGGAGAAGAAACAGAAAGCTCAGGAAGAGGCTGCTTTGGTAGAAGAAGAGGAAGAGGAGCCGTCGACTAGCACAGTAATGGAGGTAAAATGCCAGAGAAACTGTCTCTTTCAGCAGGTAGACCCCTACTTTGAGGATTAGGCTTAGGGAGGGCTAGCTCTACTCTTTATGTACACCCAGTCCTGAGATGTAAAAATTACCCAAATCTTTGCATCACTTTCTGCCCTAAATAGTTTTTATCCACTGAAATCTCAAGTGCAGTTGGAGCTTTGGGTAAATATAGACTGACTAGATATTCAGATACTTTGAATCACAGGAGTTGGCAGACTAACAGTCCTCCAGACTAGACAGAAGCTTTGCAGGATCTGCTGTGGCAGAGAGGGAGAGGAGCAGCCCTCTTGCACAATAAGTATTTGATGGAATTCTGCTGATCCCATCACCAGAAAAGAATGACCTCCATGTATCCTCCAGCCATGTCTCTTTTCAACAGCCCCCAACTTTCCATTCCTTGGAATCTGTCAAGGTCAGGATGGATTGAGTCTGGTGGAGAGCTAATCTTCTGTTCTTGTGAGTCATGGGCCCAACAGTGGCCTGTGTGTGCACTCTTGGTAGGCCAACAGCAGTCCAGAGGAGGCAATGCTATTTTATATGGGAAGGAAAGGAAGTCCCAGTGGTTAGCTTTCAGTGGGTGAGCATCTTGTCTCCATTTAATTCCCCCTCAAAAATGCCACAAGAGCCTGACTTTCTTAAGGCGAACATCCTCTGCATAAATTAAGGAAGAATGACTTTGTTCTGTTACAATGCTGAGAGATGAAAGCTTTCTATTGCCGAGTGCTGCTGACTCATTTCATTAGGGTTATATCGATGGTAACCATGGATTCCTGCAGTTCTTGGAGCTTCTCTGTCGAAAGAGATTAGCATGTAGAAATAGACTAGGATCATGCGTGCCTACTCATATCTCCCCTAAAGGGAAGAAGCCCCTTTGGTTGCTTTTTGAAAGTATTAATGACTAACTGTATATTTCATGTACCACCAAGTTCATTGTAGCCATGCTTATGATTTTCAGAGTACAGAAAAGAAGAAGAAGAAAAAGAAAAAAATTAAAGTAGAGCTAGAAGATTGAGTTTAAGAAGAGGAAGGCACAGTCTCCTTGGATGGTCGCATCACATTTGTTTTCCTGGAACACTGGCTTCTGAAGTATACTTTGACCCCTGGTTTGGGAAGACTGAGGAATTCAGTGCACTTCCTTGGGACCTTTTAAATAATACTCAGCTCTGTAGTTTAACTTCTTAGTTTAATCACTGCCCTGACAGTAGCTTTGGTTAGTAGTATGTTCTGTATTACTGTTACAGCAGGCCTCTTTAAGATGCTGACTTAGACTGAAAAAGCATTATATAAATGTTCTGAAATCAGTACATCACTTCTCAGTGGAAGAATTGCTTCCTGTGAGATTTTGAGTCTTACATAAAACATTACTACTTTTGTATGTTTGTGCATGTATCCATTTCTTCTGGAATACCTGAAATTCTAATTACATTAATTCAACTTTGTGAAATGTGGTAAGAGGCACTAAACGAACTTGTGAGGGGATTGGGCACGTGCGGTACCCCACAGTTCCAGTACACAAGGCTCAGCTGGCCAAGGCATTCTGGGAATGGTTCAGTCCATCTGAAGGGGTACCCAGTTGGGGAAAGCTGGCCTAGGGCCAAATGGGGTCGAAGTTCAGAGGGGTAGCACAAGACTGGCAGCAGGCAACCACTAGACTGACCAGGGGCCACCCTAGCTCCCAAGTCAATGGTTTGTTTATCTCTTACTGAGAAAGCAGCTTAGTTGTTTTCAGAGGAAGTTAGGCAAACTTGTAAAGGATGAGACTATGACTGCTACTAGTCCTCATGACTAAGTATTGCCTCCCTCAGAGGCAGGATGCCTCGCAGTATCAGTTGCTAGGAAAACAACAGTGAGAGAAGGTAGTTGCCCTCATGTCCTACTTAGGCTGTTCTGGTAGCGGATTAGCCACACTTAGGAGGCTAGACGAGGCAAAGTAATTGCACCATCCCACAGCATGAGTACTATTTGCAACCCCTGTCCCAGTGACAAACTAGAAATATGGTGTTACTTGCGTCTTTTAGAGTATAACATTTACTGGATGACATGGAATTGTGGATTCCATGTCCTTTGGCAGCTCCATGCCTGCTCCATGCTGCTCAAGGTCTGTCAGTGTTCTGAGCACTGGAGGGTGAGGCACATGCATTACTTGGGCTCCAAGGGTGGGTTGCCTTGTGCCCGCTTTGATAACCTGCAATGAGTGGGCTACCCAGTGGCCCATCAAAGCCACTGGGAAACAAGTGCTTCCCAGTGCATAGGCCCCACAATCTATCAAAGCACAGGGAGTTCAGACATGTCTGTCATCTCTACCACCAAGGAGAAGATGCTCCAGAAAGCAACTGATGGAACCATGCCAAATCTGGGCCCCATGTCATATGCAAAAGGAAAGGAAAGGAATGTTTGGCATGAACCTGAGTCCCAGCATGCCCCCACAAGTCTCTGGTCCCCATGGACACCTCCATTGTGGTCACCCCCATCCACTGCATCTAGTTGTGCCTATTTGGAAGAAGATGCTGGTGCTACTGTCCCCTGGATCTCAGAAGGATCAACATGATGAGCTCAGATGTTCAGCATATAGAGCCAATATATTAAAAGTACATACTTGAGTACTAATATTTTGCTTTAAAGGAGTAGTTGCACGGTTGTGATTACAGAGTGGTATTTCAAAGTGAACTTCAACAAATGCTCTTAAAGGATACTAGCTTCCCCCATTTCATCTCAAGTCTATCCAAGTGTGGGAGCTCTTAAATGGGTCTTCTCATCCTGCAAGTGTGTGCAGGCTGATACGCAATGTAGCACCCGGCAAACACCAGCGTGGTCAAGGCTGCAAAACAGCCCTTGTGTTCCACTGCTTCCAAATGTCACTTAGATACTTTTTGTTCCTTTATAAGGTATTGTTTTAGCTTCATAAAATGCTGACGAGAAGTTTTGTACATCATTTATGTGGTTCATCTGAGAAAAGTTTGCAGTAATAAGAAGCAGGACTGACCATAAAACTGTTAGATTGCTATATTAGAAGTAACCGAAGCAGTATGTAACATAGGAAGTGATAACATCATCAATAGATACATAGGAAGCTAGTCCGCTGCATCCCCACCCAAAGCCTACTATGAAAAAGCAAGTAAGATACCTTCTGGGGCTAGGGAATTTTGTTCCGTGCATCACAGCAGTAGCTGTCCTATTGACTGACCTGCCAAGGAAAAAAAAGCCCTAACAAAATAGCATGTTCAGTGAAGTGTCAAAAGTGCATCTGACGAGGCTTTTAATATTCTTACCTATTTTAAAAACACCTGATTATAAAAGGTACTTCTCAACTAGTGTCGATTTTGGAATAGTGCTTTTTGATAATACAAGTAAAACATCTTCTATACTTGAGCAGAAAACAAATAAGCAAAGGGAACTTGCATCTGTAAAGAGGTGCTTGGATGTACTGCAGGGTATAGACAAGCTTATATGCAGGGTTCACAAGTTTACAGTGCTGGCTGATCATCACAGATTGAAATGTTTATAAATAGTGACTGGGTTCACACAATAAACAATGGTGAGTTTTTAACTATTGATGGCTGCTTGCGTCATCCCCCGCAATGGTATTTCACTGTGGTAGCTTTGGTTGTGAGGAACCATGCATAGAAACTGCAGCCTGTCCTATGGCTTTCCCATTGCACAACACCTTGTTGAGCCCAGGAAACGTTCAAATGTGGTATGAAGGCCAGAAACGGAGAGCTGCTTGGCAAGAGTGGCCATTGCTGTCCTTGCCAAGCAGCTAGCCAGAGAGTGCCGTTGACAGCTGCCCTGCCCACCTCCCACCCTAAAAATGCTCTTGGGGCAGGAATGGGTGATCAGCTGGGTGGTGCTGCAGAAAGGAGCAGGGTTGCTCAGCTCTTTTCCCTGTTGCCCTTCTGCACTTGCACCAGAGAGAAGCCCGAGCAGTGCATGAGCAGGTGGGGCAAGGATCAGCTAGGCGGTGGCACTCCTTTTTCATGTTCCCACTTGCTCAAGAGTCATCCCCAGCCCGACGGCTGCCTTTCTGGCAAGCAGCAGCAAGAAAGGGCAAGAAGTGCTGCCCTCCGGGTGCTGCTGCCTCATGCAAGAATGGCTCCTGGGTGAGCACTTGGTTGGGTGCAAGGAAGGAGGCGCCGGGGAATCGGCTGAGTGGAGCTTCCCCCAGCTGGTTCTCGCCTCAGGAGCGGTTCCTCTCAGGTGTGCACTGCGCAAAGTGGGAGGGAGTTTGCTGAGCTGCTGCTGCTGCTTGCAGTGCACCCAGCTGAGGTTTCCTCATTGTCACCTGAATATACAGGTCACACAAACCTGGGGAAGGCAAGGGGGCCTGCTCAGCTGCCTTCCTGTCTCTGCTGTGCTTTGGGGCATGAGCCCGGTTTGCACAGCAGAGGCTGTTGGGCAGCCACAACTAGCCAATCTTGGCTTGTGATTGTGGCTGCCAAAGAGAAGAGCCTTGTCCCTCCCTGCAGGGGCTGATGAGATATCGCCTGGAGGGAGCTGACTTCCCATCATGGGTCTGATCACTAGTTGAAAAGGGACGAACCAAGATAATTGAGCAGAGTTGTATGTTTGATGTGTGGTCCCAGCCAAAGAGTAACACAAATGGCAAATTCCAAAGATGGCTGTGGATGCTGCAAAGGTTTAATTCTACAGTGGCTGGTAAACAGAATATACTAGTATCTGGGAAAGAGTCTTCTTAGCATAGACTCTTGGAACTCCGCATGCAGTAACCTGGACTAGAAGACTATACTGCTTGTTGATTAATGTCGGTCAGTCCACAGTGCCCTTTGCTTTTTAATTATCAAGACATGCACCTCTTGGTACTCGATCTGCTTTGTTTTGGTAGAGCCAGATGATCGTGGGGTGGCTTTGTGAGATCACCAAGCTGACAACAAAAGGAAGCCTCGGCATCTTGCAGGGAAATGGTGCACAGACAGTCCTGAGTGCATCACCGTAACCCAGCAGAGATAAGGGGTGGGGAGAATAGTTACCTGTTGCTGAGGAAGGGCATTGCAACACACAGTGAAGCAACTGTGGAGCTGTCTGACAACTGAGCAGCTTTCCTGCCCAAATCAGCCTCTCTCTGGCAATGTATTAAGGGAAAGTGGAGAAAAATCCTTTGTGTATTCTTATCAGACTGAAAGAGGCAGTGAAGTAGAGCAGAGCAGCCTAAATGCCAAAAGCAGATGAGATAAATGCTAATACCGCTTGACATAAACTTCCTGCAAGCAGCTACATTATATGGCTTCCCTGTATAGCAAGGTACATTTGAGGTTCTCCCACAGATTGCCCTGCTCCAATCTCATACTTACAACTCACTCATTGTTGACCTCCCTCCTCTCTGCCTGCTGCACTTCCCTTGAAGCCATTGGTAAAGCCTCAGGACTTCTTGATCAGACAGGTTGATATCACCTCCCCCACAAGAACTCTGCACTGAATGTAGCTGCAATTTTTATAGCTGTTGGAGCAGAGAATGGGTTTTCCCTACAGCATATTTGCAAGGCGGTCGCACCCATAGAAACTGGCAAAATACAGCTCACAAAGCTGTTGAAGAAGCTTTACAAATAGCTGAGGAAAGAAGGGAAAAAAAAGGCAAGGGAGAAAGGGGAAGACCTTAACATCCCTGATAAGCATGATGGGGTGGTCACTGACCTTGAGCCAGATAACCTGGAATGTGAAATCAAATGGGCGTTAGGAAGTCTGAGCAACAACAAAGCTAGTGGAGGAGACAGTATTCCAGCTCAGCTATTCAAAATCCTAAAATGCAGTTAAAGTGCTACACTCAATATGCCAGCAAATTTGGAAAATTCAGCAGTGGCCACAGGATTGGAAAAGGTCGGTTTACATTCCAATTCGAAAGAAGGGCAATGCCAAAGAATGTTCAGACTGCCGCACCATTGCACTCATCTCACATGCTAGCAAAGCTATGCTCGAAATCCTACAAGCTAGGCTTCAGCAGCATGTAGACCGGAGAACTACCAGAAGCACAGGCAGGGTTTCGAAGGGGCAGAGGAACTAGAGATCAAATTGCCAACATATGCAGGATCATGGAGAAAGCTTGGGAGTGCCCATCTGCTTCATTGACTATGCTAAAGGTTTTGATTGTGTGGATCACAACAAATTGTGACAAGTTCTTAAAGAAATGGGATTACCAGACCATCTGATCTGTCCCCTGAGAAACCTATATGCAGGTCAAGAAGCAACAGTGAGAACTGGACACGGAACCACCGATTGGTTCGAAATTGAGAAAGGAGTTCGGCAAGGCTGTATACTGTCGCCCTGTCTATTTAACGTATAAGCAGAGCACATCATGAGAAAGGCGGGGCTAGATGAATCACAAGTTGGAACTAAGATTGCCGGGAGAAATATCCACAACCTCCG